CATGTTCATATCTACCTATTTATCTGTTTATATATATTAATATTTTTATATATATATATATATATATATATATATATATATATATATATATATCATGTTCTTAACTCTCTATCTCAGTTTGTTCAGATCTATCTATCTATCTATCTATCTATCTATCGATCTATATCAACCTGTTCATATCCATCTATGTTTTTTCATGTCTGTCTGTCTATCGCATCCTGTTCATTTCTAACTACCTATCTATATTTTTATCATGTCTGTTTGTTTATCTATACAATCCTCTCCATATCTATCTATCTATCTATCTATCTATCTATCTATCTATCTATCTATCTATCTATCTATCCCAACCGTTTCATATCTATCCGTCTGTCTCAACCTGCTTATATCTATCGATGTTTATTTCTGGCTCTCTGACTCTCTGTCGCATCCTTTTCTATCTATTTTCATTTCCATCTATTTTTGATCAGGTCTGTCTGTCTATGTATCTATATCGTCATGTTCAAATATATCTATTTCAACTTGGTCATATCTATCTATCTATCTATCTATCTATCTATCTATCTATCTATCTATCTATCTATCTATGTGTCTGTCTGAACCATTCTGTTCATATCAATTTATGTGTGGTCATATTCTGTCTGTCTACCTACCTATCTACCACGCACTGTTCATATGTATCTATCTGTCTCACTGTCATGTTCAACCTGCTCATATCCATCATGTTTAGGCATGATCATGACTGTATATCAGTCTATATCATCTTGTTCTTATCTGTCGCATCCCGTTCATATTTATCTATTTTTGATCATATCTATCTATCTCTCTCTCTCTCTCTCTCTCTCTCTCTCTATATATATATATATATATATATATATATATATATATATATATATTCCTGTTCATATCATCCTGTTCATATCTCAACTTTTATATATCTTTCTCATCTTTTTATATATCCCATATTGTTCATATCTATCTCAACTTTTATACATCTATCTATCTATATATCTATATATATATATATATATATATATATATCAACTTGTTCATATCTATCTATCTGTCTGTCTGTCTATTTCAACCTTTTCATATTTATCTATTTATCAACTTGTTAATATCTACCTACCTGTCTTATTCTGCTCATATCCATCTATGTAAGTTTATATATGTCTGTCCACCCATCTATCTATCTCATCCTGTTCATATCCATCTGTGTTTGTTTATATATGCTGTCTATCGGTCTATCGCATCTTGTTCAAATCTATCTCTCTATCTATCTATCTATCTCTATATATATATATATATATATATATATATATATATATATATATATATATATATATATATATTTATATATATATATATATATATATATATATATATATATAAAATTGTTCATTATCTATACATAACTTGTTCATATCTCTGTCTCCGTCTGCGTGTCTCTCTCTTCTGTTTCTGATCTCTCTCCTATATATATATACATATATATATATATATATATATATATATATATATATATATATATATATATATATCAGGACATATACAACAATAAATGCATTAAAAAAAAGCATCTAGTTTACGTAAAACATTATATTTCCTGCCTCTTAAACTACAAGTGTTTTCCTGAAAGAAGATTCTGTAATCATTAAGAGTTTTACACAAAATCTAAATACATATAATTTAAATAAACTCCCTATTTATGTAAAATAAGTAGACGATATTTCCATACAAACTAAAACTCTTAATCTACTTATCGATTACGACGGTCCTAATTTTAATTCTTGCCCATAGCCAATTCTTACATCCTCAATTACAAAAGTGAAAAATATATAATTGTCACTATTAACTATCATATTTATTTATGTGTAAAATGTCAAACGTAAATAAAATATATCTGTAAATGGACAGTATGAATTAAAAAGACCAAAAATAAATTTATCTTACCCGACACGTTCGTTTACTTTGCTTTACGGTATATCAACCTCAATTACTTATTTAATACCGACAATAATTTTTAAAGAAATGTATTGCTGCGAATATTTTTTTCTTCAAGAATAAATTGCTGGTAATTTTTTTTTTAATTTATTTCTGATAATAATCTTTTACAAAAATGTATTGTTGGTATTAAAACCTATTTTTACACTTTCATTGTGTCTTGACCTCAGTTTGGGGGGTCAACTATTTGCCCATAAGGTCACGATGTACCTGGGAGCAATTGAGAGGTGGTCCCACGCTCCTCAAAACCTCCTGATCAGAGGCCTTGCTGGCGGATGTAGTTTATCGTCTTACCCAGGACGTGAATGTAGTTTATCGTCATATAAAGGACGGCTTACCCAACACATTTCGCCCTCTGATGGACTTTATCAAGGCAAATGTAAGGATTTTATTTCGTAACAAGTTCTAAAAAACGAAAGCAAAAATGGTAGATTTACAAAATTTTTAAATTTAAGAACTCTCATGAATACCCATCAGGTTAACTGAAATTTTAAAGTAAATTATGTTGGATGCTAAGTGACGTAATGTAATGTCTAAAAATAAAAGTGAGCATTTTTTTTGTATTAAAATTATATTATTTATTTCGGGATTCATTTTCATGAGCGTCCCTAAATTTAAAAATTGTTTAACACTAACGATTTTTTATTAATTTTGTTTATAAATTCTTGTTACAAATAAAAACTTTAGATTTGAATTGATAGACTGCATTGTTTGAGCTGAGGTGAAACTGGATTACCATACAGGGAGTGTGATGGATAAATTGATGCCATTTTATATTTTTTACTTCGGGTTGTTTTTTGTTGTTGTTTTTTTGTTATTTTTTTTTTTTTTGAGAGCCCAGTAGGGGACCATCTGGGAGGAAAAGAGCACCATGACACAATTCATTCTGACAGAAATTTGGAGACGGCATGCTGCGCTGATTGGAATTCGCGCTAGAAGCTACAATACGAACATTTCAGAGTGTTTGGGTGCCAGAAAGCGTGCAAAGGATGATGTGTCCTCAAAAGATGTACCGAGTGATGAAAACCAAATATCCAGTCAACATCATGGTGTTTGGAGTGATGTCTAGTGATGACAACGTTGTGCCTCCATTCCTCTTCCCACAGAGCCTGACACTCAATACCTACATCAAGGGTTCTGATGAGGTAGTGCTGCCCTGGATGAAGAAGGTGGCTACTGAAAAAAACTATACCTGGAAACAGGAGGAGGCGTCACACCACAGAAGCAGGAAAACCCAGTCGTGACAGTCAGACAATTTCTGCGACCACATAAACCCATAGATCTGGCCACCTAACTTACAAGACTGCAAACCCCCTTGGGGCGCAGTTGAGCGAGAAAACCAACGATTAGTAACAGCAAAGATGAACTGAGGACAAGGGTTATAGCAGCATTCAACAAATAAAAGAAGGAGAACGTCTAAAAGAGTTGCAGGAGATTCCGATGTCGTGGCAAGACAAGAGCAACTTTATTTAATAAATTTATTCTTTAGTATTTCAAAATATTTGTGTGTAATTTTGGTAAATATGTCTGTTAGAATGTGATATCATTGTTATTTTCATTTTTACATAATTTAGACGATAATTTATCTTACACACGCACACACACACACACACACACACATATATATATATATAAGTGTGCATTGAGGTCAACACCCAATGACAACAGTTTGTTTCATGTTTAAACTGATGATTGCGTTTAAACATGGAACTGTCGCCACTGAGTGTTGTTCTCAATGCCTATATATATATATATATATATATATATATATATATATATATATATATATATATATATATATATATATATAACAGCTTCCCTGCCATTATTTTATAACTCAGAACATCGTCCTGATGCTAGCCAATGTCCTTTTATGGCTTGCAAAACTGCAGCAATCATTTTTTTTTTAAATCGAGCGATTGCATCTTTAAACAAATTGATTTCTCTTGCTTCAACCATCGTAGAATTGAACGGGCCTCTCAGTCAACCTTGTATAATGATTCCATGTGACATTTTAATGTAATGCACTATTTGCGAAAGGTGAAAAACGCGTTTCTTCACAGACGTTTTGCGCCGTTCTGTGCCACACATCAGTTTGCCGCTTTCTTACCCGGAACATTATACGATCACTCCTCACTTAACGACTCGTCCTATTAACAAACCCAAACTTACGACCAGTAATAAAATCTCATGAAATAAGAAAAAAATAAAAAAATATCCAATCAGTTATCGCCAAAATATAAACGTTTTTCCTGAACGAAACAAAAATAATGATTTCCCCTATTTTAAAAATTATTACCGAAATCAGGACATTATCCGAATTAAATTAAATTTTTCGACACCTATTAATCTTTGTCAAAATATATCGAATGCAACAGAAAAATTGTCCAAATTGTGAAACAGCAAATTTGTCAAATTATTAGATTAAGCTTTGAAACGTTGTATCTTATAAAACATTAAAGATATCTTACTGGAATGCTCCGAGTTTGTTTTTTGTTTTTTTATATATATATCACTATAGGACTTTACTTTGAGCAATAAGAATATATAATTACTCTCCAAGCTTAACAGAAGAATCGTGATGAAGCTATATATTATTCCAGGATCATTTTCCAACTTATTCAATATGATATTCTCAAAACTTAATACTATTATTATATATTTATCATCTATCTATCTATCTATCTATCTATCTATCTATCTATCTATTCATCTCTCTTCTCTCTATATATATATATATATATATATATATATATATATATATATATATATATATCAGGACATATACAACAATAAATCGTTATCTTTCTGTCCTGGAGTAACAAGTTGCCTCACACGTTTTAGGTACGATTTCATTTTCAAGTCTTTTTTCACTGCTCTTCGGAATGTCATAGGTGAAACTCCTCTCACACGTGTCAGAAGGCTTATGGATTTAGTTGGATCTTTTCTAATTGATCTCTTTAGTCCTAAGTTGAAATAATGATTCTTCTTCTAGTTGTAACCTCCTGATCCAGTTCTCATTTCTACTGTTCCCTCTGTTTTAAACTTAATCACCGTTCTCTTGATAGTTCTTGAATGGGCTTTGAAGAAGGAAGCCATGGATGTTGGTACCATTACTGAAGGCTCAAATGATTTTTTCCTCTCACCATTGCTCAATTGAAAAGACATAGTGACGCTGACACAAAACGATTTTTAACCTGTTCTGTTTCTAGCTGAAAAACTCAAATGGTTTTTCAGTGATTCTTATTACAAATGGTGTCAAGATGACTGAACTAGAAAAAAGAAATTCAATTAGTTTATTATTTTCTAGATACTAAACATTTTGTGGGATGGACAATTATCCATTGCTGTTACACGATTTGGACAATTTTGTGTTTACCCGGTATATATATATATATATATATATATATATATATATATATATATATATATATATATATATATAGACATAAAATGTTTATATTCTTTTATAGATACAAATATTTAAGTAAATGTTCTGTTTGATAATAAACAGTATTAAATATTTGTATCTATAAAAGAATGTATAAACATAAAAATGTCATAAAATAATTGTCGGACTTGTCCATTTCATAATA